TATATTTATTTCTATTCAAAATTCAATCTGCCATAGAGACCATGGCAGATGCCACAATTGCCGAAAGCTGACATTATTAACCTGTGTAGCTTCAGGCAGCTGTGGCAGCTGACACCAGAAGGGGAGCTTGTAGCTGTTACTGCCACGATTTGAGGTCAGTTCTGCTCGAGATGAGAGCATCTGCTGATCTTCTTCAGCATTAGTCTTTCTCTCATGTGCCACTACTACCACCTTTGGTGTCAATTGTCATTATGCCTATAATTAAATGTTAGTTAATGTCACACAGCATAAATAATTAAAATGCAAATAAAATAAATTTTAAAAAATTATTTAAGGTTGACTTTTAATAGCTCAATAATAATATATGCCTCATGTCTGATATGTCACCTACAGTGATAAAATGCTAATATTTTAAAGCACACATAAACAAGGCTTACCAGAGTATAGGATCGACCTAAAGGTGATGTTGCAGCTCTGAATGTCAAAGGGGAAATTAAAAATTTTCATCTTGCAGGTGCTGATCACAAACTTATCATCCCTGTACTCGATCACACCATAATTATGAACTTTGAGAAAGGGGCTCTGCACATTTTTGTCCTTTTCAGTCCTGTAAGTAAATAAAAAGAGTCAAGTGTGAGTGAGAGAGAGAGAGAAGGCACAAGGGTTGAGTGAGCGCACACAAGCGGGAACAGATCAAATTAATTTAACTGCAACAAAGACAAACTAAACACAAGGAATAAACATAATAAGAAAGACTGAACTATAGTAAAGCAAAAACATCTAAGCAAAAATAATAAACCAATGGACACAGAACAACAAACTGCAAAGCAAGAAAAAAAATCACATGACCTAAAACATAAAATGAGCAGATTTACATTTCTTCAATTATAACATCAGGCATCCACAAAGATTCACGTGGAATCACTACTTCGGAAATTCCACAAAAGTCCTCTTCATCCCACGAGAGAAAGTCATTTTCCCACTCCTTGGGAGAGAAAAACAAAATGGAGTCAATGGTTTGATTCCTAATCAAACATCAGCTAATTTGTTATGTTTTCTCAGAAATGTTGAATTTTTCCTGAGAAAACTCACCATATAAATCCAAATATATGACATGAAGGACTGGTCGGCTTCTCGCTGGATCAAGAAAAAAGAGAAATATTACCAGTTGTTACACATTTAGAATAGATTGCAATTAATACTTTTAATTTTAGGCCAGAAGTTAATTTAGATAACATCATAGTTAATAATATTTTCTTAAATTAGCATGTACCAAAGCCATTATTTGTCTTACAGATTTTCTTATAAAACAACAACTTAAGATCTTCTTCTTAATATTCCACATTAAGCAACTGGAAATATGATAACATGCCTTCAAATATGACTTCAAACAATTATTTTATGAAAATAAGATTCCTAAATCTTAATCACATAATCAAAGCTAAACAAACTAAAATGAATTCAAACAAAAATAAAAATGACAACTCAAGACGAGAACAAGAACTTACCACATCTAGAATGGCATACATCCTCATTTCAATGTAAACTCCAGATGCTATTTTATAGTGTCTAGTAGGTCTGCTCATGGTCAACATGTCATTGCTTTTGGTCAGGTTCAGGTAGTCTAGAACGTCCCAGTATCTGCACTTAGTTCCTGCAAAAACAGAAAACCCATTGTTCTACAAGAAATTCACCAGAAAGGCAAGAGTTTTTGTAAAATTAGAAAATTGTACTACAGCATTCTTGTGGTTGGTCATAACCAATAAACTTTTACAGTAAAGACTGAATCAGTTTTAAATTATATTAAAAAAGGAATTCAAGTCATAGTATTTTTAAACTTATATTTTATCAGTGTTGATTAAATTCCAGCCACATTCAGACAAATCCAGACACTATGGATTGAAATCTGTGTTGTTTCAATTAAATCTGTATGTTTGAATCCGTGCTTTGAATAAAAGTGTAAATAAGAACATTTCAACTGTCAATAGATCAGTTTACAATGTCGTTTTTCAGAGGAATAATAAACAGATGTAAGCAGCTGTGAGTTCATCATTCAGAATAATCACAGGGATGTTTATGTTTAATGCCATTTTTGAAAATATGAGTCGCCAACAAAATATTCTTCTGCCATTAAGACTGTTGCCCAAAATGTTTTGAAAACAAAGTTATCTGGTATTAACTAAATTGTTTTTTGCAGCTTTGTGGCGAGAAACATTATTTTGGCCTTACCAGTTTCATCAGGTCTCTTGTCAGATGTCTGGTTATTATAATCCGTCATATTATAACTTGTTGTATTCCCATCTGTCATGGAAAAAACACAAAATTATATATTTTTTAATTATTTCATAATCACACTTTTCATGATTGAATGGTTTAAAAATGTATTAACCTGCTCAGATTTAAAATTGTTAAGCAGGGGGCTAAAACAGTAGCAGCCACTTTTATGTTGACCAGATGACAAATTTATCTAAACTTCACTTATACAAAGAAACAAAATGGCTACAATAAATCTTACAGTAAGAATATTAATTGATGATGATAATTACCATTCAGAGAGAAACTATTAAATACATTTCCTACCCGATAGTTCTGTGTAACTCTGATTAGAGTTCAACTGCTTGCCAAGATCATCTTGTATTTCCAAACTGGACGTTAATCCACCTGACGACAGAGATCATACATTTAGTTTTATGTATATTAACCTTCCTATACTGTTACTTTGTTACTGTCCATTTTAAAAAAAAGTTGGTGAGAATGAATTTTAGATCAGTGTTGAATGCAAATGTACAAAACATCTTCCAGATTTTCATGTACAGAAGAATCTCTAAGCCAAGAAATTTTTAACCACATTTCACAATAATGCAGAATTTGTGTCGGTCTACCACACACATACAAAAAAAAAAAACAATAAAATATAAAAATTCATATTTGTATAGTAACAAGATGTAAGGGAATATGTTTGCATGGATATAAAAACAGGGCATTATTGCAAGAATCTACCCAAACTGCCAATTCACTAAGGCAGGTTAAATTTTGTATTAAACGCTGGAAAAAACAAAAATCAAACACGTTCTATTGGTTGGTGATGACTGAAAAAACAAAGCAAAAAATAATAATATTACAAAGGTCGGAGTGCATCCAGTTGCATAACAATCTCCTATTTGAGGTTCCATGAAAATCCAAACAGGATGACCACATTTCCTCCATAAACTAAAAGGCAGAAGGAAAAAGGTTGAAGTCATCTTCTACCTTGTTTTTCCTAATCCTGCTTTTCACAGACATTCAATAACAATCGATTGTTGAACCAATTCTTAGACTTATAAAAAAATTGCAGAGTAAAACTTTAATTCTCTAAATCTTTGAGGCCTTTGAGTTCTTTTTATGTTAGTATAGGCCCCAGAAATCTTTCAGTAAACTCATCATTCATTGTGCAATAGATGAAGAAAACAGCATTAATAAAAAAAAAAAAACCTCTCACTTCAATTGCATAATTAATAAAAGTACAACATAGTTTACATTATTAAGAAGCATATAGGTCTAGTAATAATCAGCTTACCTGCAAAGAGCAGAAAACAGATGAATGCAAGAACCATGACTGTGATCTGAGGGCAGCTTTCTCTTCTCTGAACTGTTTAAAGCTTTTTGTGTTCATATGACTGTCATACGAGGGCAACACCCTCAGCACTTATATCTCATCAATTTACCATCATTGTTTTCTTTCTAAAAGTGTTCATTTATAATTGTCATTGTGGTCAGCAGCACTTTGCGAAGTCAGAAGATGAACAGATTTACGTTTTGAGTGTTAAAGTAGACACTCAAACTAGGAAAATATAATACAAAACAAAATATTCACACTA